CCTCTCTCTCTCTATATATATATATATAAAGAGAGGGAGGGAGAGAGAGAAAAAAAAGTCGGGTTCAAACGAGGATGATACATATATAAGATTATAAGAAAACGATCGAATCACATATGATTTTACACTAACATCACGTACAAAATCACATGTGATTTATGCAATTTTGACCCCCGACTTGAAGACGCAGTTTAATTCGCCAGCACACCTTTTTTAGCCATTCAATGTAAGATCACATATGATTTTGCACGTGATTTGATCATTTTCGTGTTTTCTTGAATAGTTAGCATTTTCGTTTGATTTTCCATATATACATATACATATACATATACATATACATATACTTTTGATGAGACCAGTGAAACTACTATGAAGATTCAATGTATGCTTCATTATGAAGGTTTGGTGTGTTTTTCCTACGAATGTCGTGTCTCCATATGAAGATTCGGTTTTTATGTGAATACTTCCTTTTTACATGTGAATGTTCCATCCTACGAAGGTTTCATTTCCGATCTGAAGGTTCAATGCTCTTTTCTATACAGGTTCAACGAAATCAACTCATCTAATAATTACAAGTTGATTTTATAGGTTTTATAATAATAAAAAAAATACCTGTCTTACATGATCTCAAATCTGATTAATTATTAAAAATGGTTTTAAAATTCATATTATCTACTTGGCGTTTTCATTTTTCATGTGGGGTGAAACTTTAAAAATTTGGTGGCCTATTTATTTAAGGGAGTGTTTGTGATTGCTTATTTAAAACAACTTATGTTTTTTTTGTAAAAGTGTTTACTAACTTATATGATATCAAACCGGAGTTAAATAAAACAGATTTAAAATTGTAAACTGGTAATAAACAGTTTTTCATAAATCAGAAAGGATTAACTTATCAAAAACAGCTTATTACCGGTTTGACACCGGTATAAGCACTTTTTTTTTCTTATCCAAACACTAAAAAACAGCTTATCACCGATGCCAGACTGAAAGAAGTTAAAAAACAACTTTTATAAACAATCCCAACACCCCGTAAAATTACATTAAAAAAACAAAGAAATATATATGGTACGTTTTATAATTGGCATAAATCCTGTTTTTTCCTATATTTATTTATTTAGGGGGTTGATATTGATACCCCTAGACTACTTTCTACCCCTGGCATATGTCTCCCCTCACACGCCATCCCTCCCTCACACACACGATTCACTTTTTTTTAATTTAAAAATTTTAAATTTATATTTTATACCCTTATAATTAATTAATTAATTACTTTATATCCTTCACTTTTAAAATTTTCATTTTATACCCTGATCAAATTAACATACATAATCGTATATCAATTAGAATATGTTTAAAAAATACGTTTTAATTTTAACAAGTTACACTATTATAATCGTCACGTCAATACCTTCGAAATGAGCCCAATATTGAATATTTTTTGACTTAATTATATTATATACAATGAAAAAATATTTTTAATATTTACATTTATAGTTATTTATTTAATTTATGATATGTCATTTGTATTTTCAATTTTCGTTTTACATCATTATCACATTAAAATACATAATTTTATATCAACTAAAATACGTTTTAATATGTCACGTTAAATTCTATCTCATATACATCAAGTAACATGTCTCATTATAAACAATAATATCGACATTAAGTACAAAATACGTTAGGCAAATACGTTTTAACATGTGTACCCGAAATTGTAGAGAACTTGTTAAAATAATTTGATTTGAAATAAAGTAAATTTATTGATTTGAAATAAAGTAAAAAATAATCGATATATATATCGAACGAACGAATGAATCGTTCATTCGATATTTCACAATATTATATAACTCTCTCATTTTTCTTCAATATATAACTCTCTCATTCTTCAATATACATCAAATATGGGAGAAGATTTGACAACAACACTAGAATTATTTCTTTAAGATAATAATTAAATATTATGTTAGAACTCAATAATTATCTTAATTATATTTTAGATATTTTATATTTAAAATGATGTTTATCATGTATTTGATTATGTTTATCCACAATTAGTTATACGAATTCGAATATGAAGCTTTAATAAGTTGTACCTATGCACAATCAACTTGTAATCTTGAATTTTAAGTAATATGCATCAACAAACAATACTTTATACATAAAAAAATTGTTTTTAAGAGTTTTTGTCAAATGTTTTATAATATAGTATAGATTAATGGGATTACAAATAAAAAAGGGATTGATTTTATATAACATAACGTGTTCATTCCTCAAAAAGTTCAAAAAAGTGTTTATGCACTTCCATTCCCTCCCCCAGATGCTTGATGCTCCGATTTTCTTGGTTCTGCTTGCTCGACGCTTATCTGGTATTTAAACATTTTTATAAGTTGGTTATGAGTTCGTTTTTATAAATGTTGTTCATGATTAAAATTTTGAAAACCAAGTTTAAAAAAATGAAAATATATATATATATTAACATGGATGTCAAATTAAAAAACCAGTTCTTTTTCATATATTTTATTAAATTAACAAGTTAATTAAATTTAAGATAATTTAGAGTTTTTTTTTATATTAAGATAAATATGTGTGTTTCCAAAAATTGGATCCGTTTATATGGAAATGGTAATATGAGTTTGAAAATCTCTTCAGACCTTCTTATTGTTTACAAAATGAGTACAATATTATAAAAACTGAAATATTTTTTATGTATTATTGATATGTATATAACGTTTCAGCATTTGTATTTTTTTTTTCAAATTAAGAGCTTTAAAAGGTAAACCTATGTTTCATCTTCTTGCTTTCAAAACGCATTTCGTATGTAAGAAATCCTACAAAGACAAAATTAACGAGAGAGAAGGAAATCTTCGATGTTCATTATGGTTCAAGATATTAAAGGAGATTGGTGTGTGGGTGGTGATGGATCTTGTAGGCATGGGAATAGGGCGGGGACCTCAATCCCTGTCCCCGTTCCTGATTACTTATCTTTATTCTCGTTCCCATCCCCATCCCTAACGGAGAAACGAATTTTTTTTTTTTCCGTTTGTATAAGTTATTTTAAATTAAATATGTGAGAAACCATACATGTTTAAATCTCAAACATTTTCAATAAACCTAAAACCAAAATGAATTTAATTTAATAMAAAAAACCACAACATCATATAAGAACTAATAACCTAAAACAAAAAAAAAATCTATTTAATTCAAAAAAAACTTAAAGTTACATGTACCAAAAGATATTGAGTAATATAAAATCATATCGAGTAATATACAAAACTCATCGAATAATTATATTTTGACTTGACATCCAAAATGTTATATATTAACATCCAAATAGTAACAATTTTAGATTATAAACCTAGTTAGGAAATAAGAAATTATGAATTACCACTTTAGTTGAAATAAATAATCTATACTATATTATAAAACATTTGACAAAAACTCTTAAAAAATATTTTTTATGCATAAAATACTGTATATTGATGCATATTACTTAAAATTCAAAATTACAAGTAATCATGCATTAAGTACAACTTATTAAAGCTCAATGTTTGAATTCGTATAACTAACTACGGATAAACATAATCAAATAGAGGATAAGCATCTCATTTTAAAATACAAAAAATCTAAAATATAATCAAGATAATTATCGATTTCTAACAAAATAATTAATTACTATCTTTATAAGAAAATTATATTATCAAACCAAATATAAATTATTTCGTTATTGAACCTAAATTAAATTATAAAAAAATTGAATTAAAGAAGTTACACCAAAAAATGAAAACTATTAAATAGTCAATTTAATATTAATATCGATTTTTTTAAAAATTTTTATGCTATTTTCAAATTTATATTTCATTCAAAAATAAAAACATTATCGTTTTCTTAAAACCACATAAAATTATATTACATCAATAGAGACAAATAACAAAAATTAAACATCAAAATGGAGATTTATCTCGCTGTTTTGCGCGACAGCGCGAATATCCTTCTAGTATATATATATAAGGTACGGGGCGGGTCGGGGCGGGGCGTACCATACTCGTCCCCCGTCCCCATCCTCAGTTTGAGACAAACGCAGATCCCCGTCCTCTATTTGAGACAAACGAGGATCCCCGTCCTCATCCCCAATTTAGCAAAGAATCCCCGTCCTCGACCAAGACGGGTGGACTGGGTTCTACAACGGATCGGGACCCATTCCCATGATCTTAGAAGGAGATGGATGGGGTGGTTCTGGAGAGATGGACACCAGGTGGTTGTTATGCATTTCTTTTATTTTTTAATTTATTTTGTAACATTTATGCTTTTACATGACTTGATTATTAAAGTTAAGACTTTTTTATATATTTTTTATTCTGTTCAAGTCTTTTACATGAGTTGATCATTGTTGATGCTCTAAGTTATACATACTTGTACATTTAAATTAGTTTTTTTAATTTATAAAAAGACGAAAATACCCCTTACATGACTAGCACGTAAGGGTACTTAACAGGGAAATTTGACGGATTTAAAGATCAAGGGTTAACGATAAAAATAAAAATTTAAACTATACAGGGTACGAAATTAGATTAGTGATAGCAAATATATATAATTCATATTTACTCTTTAAACAATCATGTTTATATAAGGGGTGTTTGGGATTGCTTATTTGAAACAACTTATATTTTTCTATAAAAACACTTATTAACTTATTATAAGTTAGAATGGTTTAACTTCAAAAACTTCTTATTATCGGTTTGACACCGGAATAAGTTGTTTATCCAAACACTCAAAAATGTTTTTTATCGATGCACATTATAATAAGTCAATAAATTATTTTTATAAGCAATTCCAAATATCACGCGGTTAAAAAAGAAAATCCGGTGCACCAACCATTCTTATAAAAAACCTACGAATCAATCCGGGTCCAAATACCATCCAAAGAATTGCCGGACTGAGAGGTGGCGGGAAAAATTTCATCTTATAGAGAGCCTGTACGATCGAGAGAGAGAGAGAGAGAGAGAGAGAGAGAGAGATGGAGGTGTTGAGATTACCGTTATCTGCATCGCAAAAAGGGAGACTGATTTCAGCAGGCTATACTTCTATTGCTTCGCTTTCTTCAATTTCTCCTTCCCAACTTGCTCTAGGTATTGTTTTCTTCATCTGTACACTTGTAATGATTTCTATGTATATGTTTGTCTCAAGCATTTTTCCAATATTCATGGGGAGCGCAATTACAGAGATTGAATTGAACTGTGATAAATTCGTTTTCTTTGCTGAATTGATTGTTTATGTATGTTAACGACACGGCTCGCCAACTGTTTGATAATATTACCAAGCTAAAGACATGGTTTTTTTTTTTTTGTCATCATCATTTTTGGAAAGTAAAATTTGTAAATAATTTGTGTCCTTGTTGGGTTTGCAATTTGATCTTTATGTAGTTTGTGGATTTGGGATCGGGAAATTGGAAATGAGGGCAGGAATGGATTTCAACTGTGACCATGCCCCATCGTTAGTTTTTGAATAAGGTATGGAGACCGCCACTTATGAAACCTTGTAAGTATGGTTGTGAAGAGAAAATGCATCCGGCTTTTCTTTTTGGAAATACAAGAGCCCACCCTTATTTGATCCTATATTGTGGAATAGAGGGAGTCTAAGTTTATCAATAAAAACTACCAAATAATGACTCTCTTAGATATGGTGTTTGGATTGGTATAAACGTTGTATAGGGTTTGTCTTTTCTGGGTCTACATTTGCATCTACAACTTACTTTTTCCATCATCAATGTCATACTCTTATGTCCATTTGTGATGTTGGGAGATCACCAACAATGGGTTTTTTTTTTAATTAGGAGTCATTGCCAGATATAGAGCATGTAAAAACTAAACAGGATTCTAATATGGTTCTTATTGATCATCAATGATGTCATGCTTTCTAGAGAATAATGTGACATGCTCTTGAGAAAAAGAAAGTCTCTACATTGTATGTGAATGTAACTAAAATTAGTATAATCACATAAAAACAAGCATCAAAGCATGCAATCGCAAGAGAAGAGCTTTCTCTATTACTAGCATAGTGTTACACCAATGGTAGGCCAAATAGTTATTTTTTTATTTAGTTATGCATGAGCTCAAAGGACATATGTTATGATATGTCATAGGTTATGTAGTTGCTGATGATGTAGTGTTTACTGATGAGACTAAGTACAGGTTTATGCAAAGTTCAAGGTTTAGAGATATACTTTGGAGCGTAAAGGTTTTAGATTGTAAGAGAACTAAAACAATTAAATAAAGTGCAACGTCACTGGAGATTCGGAAGCAAAATGAACATGGGCAAGATGCGGTTAGGATGGATATCTTTTGTTATCTGGGATATGTTTTACAGAAAGATAGCAAGTGGCGACATTGATGAGGATGTTAATCTATATAATTCGAATATGGTATAGAAATGGTAACAAGCTTTGAGACTCTTATATGGTTGAAAAAGGCCCATTAAAGTTGTAAGGTTTGTTTATTTTATGACATTAATACTTGTTTTTTTCTGAGGGAGTGATATCGAGTCACCAAAAGATGACATATATACAAGATGGGTGTAGCAAAAAATGCAGTTTTGAGGTTGATTTGTAGTCATACAGTGAGGGATATGACAAGAAATAAAAGGGAGACTGGTTTATGCAGTCTACACCTTCAATCGGCTTCTTCAGTAGATAATGCTGTTGTGCTTGAAAATGAAGATGACAGAGACACTATTGATGAAGTTCTTGTGAAGAACAATGGGTATGGAAGAATAGAGAGAGGGGAGAAATTCAAAGGAGTAATCATCCTCAAATGAGAAAGAACTTTAATGAATGGCAGTTTGGTCACATTATTAACCTGCCATTTTGTTTCAAGGCCTCTATTATTGAAAAATGGAGAGACGTATTTTTGCCAGATCACACCTTTAAGTTTGGCCTGAAACTGCATTTTTTGCTGAAAATGGTAGTCTTGACACCCTGGCCATTGGTAAAAGAGCGTTTTTGTGGCCTAGATGGTCTAGATGGGATTGGTTATTCTTGGGTGGCATACTGTTGTATGATCCCTATTTTATTTTCCTTCATCATATAGATGATAGTATAATTTCCCCCCTAAATGATGAGGGAATGCTATATGTTCTCATAATGTCACATGCGTTTCTCTCTTTGAACCGACCATGAGGCCTTTCCCTTTATGGGGAATTTAGAAAATGCTAAATTATAAGAGCAAATATCTCTTGTTTCTCTGATGTTTGATTTTTGTCATTATTGCTTGTAAAAGCATGGAGTAAACCACTTGCTCTTTCATATATAACATCAGAAATTATTGGAACCTTAATTAGTAATAAATTTTGAATATCATTGTCTCTCTCTTTGGTTGTTGCAACATTTTGTACGTTACTTCATCATAAAAATCTCGTTCATTTTTGTTGTGATGTACTTTGGAACAGAACTGAAGATTTCGGAAACTGAGGTACTTGAAATTCTAAAGATTGTATCAGATGGTAGTAGGTTGGAGAGTCCCGGTAGCAGTTGTACTATTGTCCATGGTACTCACTCTTCCTTTTCTAGTGCATGTTGTTAGTTTCTTTATCATTTCTAGTTGCACAGTTGCTCTTCAGAAAGATTTAGCAAAGTCATTTATGTTATCTCTACTTTTAACATGGTAAAGGGAACCAAGCCAAGCCAAACCAAAGGAACCCAATATATCTCCCTCAAAAAGCAGGGTCTGGAGGAGGGGGTGAGATGTATGCAGATTTGTTCTCTACCCCAAAGGATAGAGTGGCGGTTTTCCTTGAAGACTTCTTGGCTAGTGTAGAAGTGTGAGCGAAAAGGAAAAAAGAGAAAAAGGAAAATAGAAAGAAGGAGAAGTAACAAACAAATAGGCACAATGGAACATGTAAAAGCTAAGGAAACACATCCCTCCATGTGTGATAGGACCGAGTAACCCTATCTGCTACCCCCCTATTAGCCAATTATATATATTTAGGAGATATATTCAGTTAAGATTGTATTGTATCGATTCCTATTTTATCTCCACAATCAATGGTTGTATTGCTTTGTATTTCTCCCTATATATATATAGGGGATTGTTATTCTATAGAGGTCATCGAATGGTGATACTGATAAGATCTAAAATTCAAGCAGGCAACTTTGATCGGAACTGAAATAAACGGCCCGATTCGAGAGGGGCAATGTCTCCAATTACACAATACTTTGATAATGAAAAACAAGAATGAGAAATAATGAAAGTAAAAAGCCTGCTTTTAATAACCCACGACATTTAATGGCTTCCCTGAGAGAGTAGGTAGAGGAATAACTCCTCACCCTTTCATCTGCTTGCTAATAATTAGGCATAGTAACTGCTCCTCGCCCTTTCATCTTCCCGCTAATAATTAGGCATAGTAACTGCTCCCCACTCTTTCAAATTACCGCTAACTTCTAGACCGAGTGGATCCAGCTTAAGCCCAAGAAAAGAATTTAGCTGGCCCATATCGGCAGTTGTGGCCAGTTTCCTTCTTCTCACATATACTTTTATTGGGCCTTTATCAATACTTCCTTCCCGGTAAAACGCCTTGTTCTCAAGGTGGAATGCAGGGAATTGTTCTGCCAACAGATCATAGGATTCCCAAGTAGCTTATTCCACTGGGCGATTACACCAAGAGACCAGCAATTCCAAACCCCACGGATCAGCCTCAGAAACCCAACGATGAGCTATAATAGAACTTGGTTGCAAGTCAATTTCCCAATCTTTAGTGATGGGTAATGGATGTTGCTGGTCAGAAGAAAAAGAGCCATGGGCGGGTTTAAGCATTGACACATGGAACACCGGACGAATTCTAGCGGTGGGTGGGAGCTCAAGTTCATATGCAACTGGACCCACCGCCCGTTTAATACGATATGGACCGAAAAAGCGAGGAGAAAGCGAGGAGAAAGCTTCTCATACCGACGTTTGGCTAAACTCTTCTGTCGGTAGGGTTGAATTTTTAGGAAAACAAGATCCCCAACTTGAAATGTCAGATCCTGTCGTTTGTGGTTAGCTTGATTCTTCATTCGGTCTTGGGCCCTTTTGAGATTGTTTCTAAGAAGCTTTAGCATATCATCCCGGTCTATTAACTGTTGCTCCAATTCTGCATTTTTTGTTTCCCCCATGAGATAAGGGAATAAAGAAGGGGGCTCCCTGCCATAGACGACGGTGAAAGGAGTGGTGCCTGTTGCCGTATGATACCCCGTGTTATATGAATATTTAGCCTATGGTAAATAAGTACTCAACTTTGGAGGTTGTTCACTGGCAAAACACCGTAAATAGGCTTCAAGACAACGGTTAAGGACTTCGGTCTGCCCATCCGTCTGGGGATGGTAGCTTGTACTTAATTGGAGCTTAGTTTGGCTTAAACGAAATAATTCTTGCCAAAAATGGCTAAGAAAAACCACGTCCCGGTCCGATGCGATGGATCGTGGAAATCCGTGTAACCGAATTACCTCCTTACAAAAGATTGCAGCCACCCCTTTTGCAGTGAAAGGATGCGAGAGGCAAAGAAAATTAGCATATTTGCTCAAACGACCGATCACCACTAAAATAGTATCATAACGACCCGAAGGAGGTAAACCGACTATAAAGTCCATTGAGAGGTCCTCCCAAATCTGATTGGGTATGAATAAGGGCTGAAGTAGACCAGCCGGAGACAATGTTTGGTATTTCTGTTGTTGACAGATTACGCACTGCTGTACAAAAAGTCGAACATCTTGTTTCAGTTTAGGCAAAAGTACCTGGCTGAAAGACGCTTAAGAGTCTTTAAAAATCCCCCATGACCTCCAGTTGGGGTGTCATGTGCCTTCTGTAACAACTTATGCTTGAGATCAGGTACCTCTGGTATCACTAAGCGTATTTTATATAATAAAAACTGATTAACGATGGAAAAGCCAGCAACTGATGATGGATCAACTTGTAATTTGTTTACTATATTGCTGGTAACTGGGTCATTTTGGAGTCCCATTTTGATGTCAGCCACCTCTACACAATAGGGTACCATAAGTACCAATAACTCACCCGAATGAGGTCGTCGAGATAAGGCATCTTCTCCTCTATTCTTTTTCCCTGCTTTGTGAATAATAGAGAAGTCATAAGGCATAAGTTTCAATAGTAAACACTGCTGCTCGGTAGTTGTAATCAGTTGCTCAAGTAAGAATTTCAAGGTGTAATGATTGGTACGGATGAGAAAATGTCGGCCAAGTAGGTAATGACTCCACTTTTGTACTGTCAGTACTAAAGCCAGCAGCTCCCGGTCATAGGCTGATTTAAACCGATTAGAAGGGGAGAATCCCTTGCTAAAATAGGCCACGGGGTGATGTGATTGAGACAATATAGCCCCTACACCATCAGAGGAAGCGTCACATTCTACGACAAATGGTTGTGAGAAGTCGGGTAACCTCAAAACAAGAGTGGACAACAGTGCTTGTTTCAATTTCGTAAAGGCGTTTAGGGTTTGTTCCGACCATACGAATCCGTCTTCCTTAGTCAATGCTGTGAGAGGTCGTGCTATCAAACCATAATTCCGAACGAAACGTCTATAGTATCCCGTTAGACCAAGGAACCCTCTCACTTCCTTGACTGTTGAAGGTATTGGCCAAGATTGCACTGCTGAAATTTTTTCTTCTTCAACTTTAACACCTTCCGAATTAATCACATGCCCGAGAAACACCACTTGTGGCTGCCCGAAACAACACTTCGACATCTTAGCGAAAAATTGATTGTCGTAGAGTAACTTTAATGCTTGTTCCAAATGAGATTGGTGTTGCGCCATGGTATGGCTGTAAATCAAGATATCGTCAAAAAATACAAGTATGAAACGGCGTAAAAAGGGACAAAATAAATCATTCATAATAGCTTGAAAGGTGGAAGGCGCATTTGTCAACCCGAATGGCATAACCTTGAACTCGTAATGCCCCGAATGAGTAAGAAAAGCCGTTTTTGCAACATCTTGAGCAGTCACTCTGATTTGGTTATACCCAGATCGTAAATCAAGCTTAGAAAATATCATTGCACCATACAATTCATCTAGTAACTCGTTGATATTCGGAATGGGTTACTTGTCAGCTACCGTTATCTTGTTAAGGGCTCAATAATCAACACACATTCTCCAAGTATTATCTTTCTTTTTCATTAGTAATACCGGACTCGAAAATGGACTAGTACTTGCTTGAATAAATCCGGCTGTCAACAGTTGGTCAACTTGTTTCTCTATTTCTGTTTTTTGTGAATGAGGGTATCGGTAGGGTCGAATATTTGGTGGTGGTGTGTTGGGAATTAGGGGGATGGAGTGGATTTGGGTTCTAACAGGTGGGAGGGTTTTGGATTCCTCAAAAACAATGGAGTATTGGACAATAATAGGTTGTAGAGGAGTTGGAATTTGTGGGTTGCTCACTGATTCGATAGCCAAGTGTTGGAAACTAGATGATTTTTGGGGTCCCGTTTCAATACCTTTCAGCTTGTATCTCTTCCCATCGATAGTGAAAATCATAAATAATTCTTTCCAGTTTGCTTGGACAATATTTAAGGTGGCTAGCCATTGAATACCCAGAACTAAGTCAGCCCCTCCAATTGAAAAAAGGTGGAAGTCTTGAATAATCTTCAATTCATTAATTTGTACAGAAAGATTTTTGCAAATCTGGTCACATCGGATTACATCTCCATTACCGATTTGAACCCCGAAAGGTGTTATAGGTTGGGTCTCAAGTTTAAGCTCTTTCACCAAACAATCTGAGATAAAATTATGGGTGGACCCTAATGTCGATCAGAGGGCAGAAATTCTTTTATTGATTTGGTTCTTTTTTGTGTGTGTATATTACAATACATTGGAAGCAACATTTATAGGACAGATATGACATATACAAGGAAATGTTGTGCATGATTCTAGGCTGGAGAATGGCTGTAACAGATCGAGATTGATCCTTGAATTTGRGAGGTGATATTTGACAAATCATTTCCTTTTTTCTTTTTTCCAACACTCCCCCTCAAGTTGAGTAGTGGGATCCCCAAAACTCAACTTGCCAAGACAGTGGTTAAAGATTCTTCCATTGACCGCCTTTGTTAGAATGTCTGCTAACTTTTCTTCTGATCGGACGAACGGAAGTTCGATAATTCCAACTTCCAGTTTTTCTTTGATGAAGTGTCGGTCAATCTCCACGTGTTTTGTTCGATCATGTTGAACTGGATTTTCGGAGATTTGAATTGCAGCCTCATTATCGCACATCATTCCACTTGTGCCCTTCGGAGGAAAACCAAGTTCGGTTAAAAGTTTCTTGATCCATAGAATTTCTGCCAGTCCCCGAGCTACGCCCCTGAATTCAGCTTTTGCACTTGAGAGTGCAACAACTTTCTGTTTCTTGCTCCTCCACGTCACTATATTCCCGCCAACGAACGTGAAATAACCTGAGGTTGACCTCCAGTTCCCTTTATCACCTGCCCAGTCAGCATCAGTGTATTCTTGTATCTCTAAGTGCCCGTTCAATTTGAATAACACCTCGTGGTTAGGTGTTCCTTTAAGGT